TACAAAATATCATCATATTATTGTTCATTATTGATTAAATGCTTATAAAACCTTTATAATTACTTTATATTATACACTAATTCTTAACACTTAAAATGTGAATAATGATAGTTAAGATTATAACTAAAAACATACTATACCGACTTTTAAATGGACATTGAATAATTTTAATGATTAATAATATCATTATTACACAATGTTTGTAAGTAAAACAACGCGTTTATTCTTGAAACTTACTCAAATACATACAATAAATAAATTCAGTACGTGTGCACTGAAATAGTTACAAAAGTAAGTATATTACTAACTCGTAGCATGTTTTATGTTTCAATATTATCTTATTTGAATGAAATATAACATTTGTCTGGGTTTTATTTCATTAAATCCGACTACCGTTATTGATGATTTACAATTGTAATCGGTTGCTGCTGCGAATTTCATTAAGGTGTATGACGAACACTTTGCACGCACAATGCCATGTATATGAAAGGATTTACAAGTACATTTGCATTTTGCAAAGGGGACAAATATTAGTTATAACTTCCATTTATAATTATTCAGGATAAATAAAATTTTGGCTCATTACCATAAATAGGTAAAAAGTTCTAAGAAAAATAAATATTATAACAAACATAAGTTTTGACAACAATATTGACATGATAAAAAAAATAAAGATAGAAATGTGTTGTCAATACATCAATATAAATCATGTTATTTATTTTTATATAAGTCCTTATAATAAACAAAGGAAATATTGTTATTCAAATGTATTTTTTTAATGGGTATGTATATCAGGTGGGTTTGTAAATTAAGCCCTGTACGTATAGTTACACCAAATTACTAGTAGCTCAATTAGTAATAATGAAATTGAATTAATAGTAATCATTAAAAACGAGTATAACTGTTAATGAAATTTAAGAAAGCTTTAATGATAATTAATTCGCCCTGATACACAACCTCAAAATAATAGAATTGCTAGTAGAGATGGAAACGTTTTCCATCTACTAGCAATGTCTTTGTTGACTATTAGTAGATTTCCGAATATTAGTAGAGTTCGAATCTATTATTTTGCGATTAGCTTTTGTTTTCACTGCTGACAATTTTCTATATTGTATTGAACGCTTGGTCCAGTTTTTTTCCTTTTATATATAGTTCTACTTCATGATATCTATCTTTTTGCCGTTTCTCCCTTGCTTTTATTGCATTTATGTTTATTTTGTTTTTAATTTTTTCATATTCTTTGGCTATATTTACATTTATATATAAATTATGTATATATATATATATATTTTTATAATTTTACGTTAATGTACGTATGCTTAGATGGATAAATGGAGTGACTAGAGAAGATAGGATAAAGAACGAGCATATAAGAGGAAGTATAGGTGTATCGTCAATCGTGGATAATATGAGAGAAAATAGACTTTAAAATAGATGGTTGGTCATGTTATGAGGAGAGAAGAATCGGAAGCTGTAAGAACAGTTATAGAAATGAATGCTGAAGGAAGAAGAGGTAGAGGAAGATGAAAAAAGAGATGTAGGGATGCTATAGAATGTGATATGAGGACAGCTGATGTGAGCGTAGATGATGTGGGAGATCGTGTCAAGTGGAAGTTTAGGATAAGGGTGACCGACCCCAAGTAGTTGGGATTAAGGCGAGGAAGAAGAAGAATATACGTAAATATACAAGTACCAGTTTATTATATAAAAACAGCTAATTTTTAAATTAGTCGTAATTTTGGTGGTAAAAATTAGTTAATTTACCTTTATTTGTTTTATTGTTTTACAAAGAACTTATTTTTTAGTATACATTGCTATTTGAAACTGTTTAGAAGATAACGAACCATATAGACTATTATACAGATTATTATTGAGAATTTTCCTCAAAACTGGGTTCTTAACAGATTCGGAAAATGGAAAATAGAGTTACACTAGAACTTACGAAACTTGTTATTTATTTCCATAGAGTTTGAAAAGATTACAGTGTTAATGGTGAGTACAAAAGTTATTATATCCATTGATGTATTTAATAAATGTTCTTATTTACATTTTAAATATAACAATTTGAAGATGAAATACTAATTTGTATAAGTTTTATGTTTTATATCAAGTTTTATAATCATTTTACAGTACAAAGTAAATTTTAAATTTTACCGAGTAAAAGTTAGACTTTAATTTTGTTCAAGAACATTAAAAGATATTATTTGTGTTCATTTATGAATCTTAGTAATTTCTGTCTAACTTATACTAAACCTTGCAAATATTCAGCATTAAGTATAGAAAATAACTATCGCAAATTTATAAATAAATAATAAATATAAGTAAACTGAAGTAAGAGCATATATTAGGCAAAAGTCCAATATTGAAATAAATAGTTTAATTTTATAGTTATGAACCTTTGATAATCATTTATTTATGAATTTGTTATATTAGCTTAGTGTTCTGCTGATTTTGGTTTTGATAATATAGTTTGTATTGGTTAATAAGTGTTACATATATTTATACGTATTTGACTATGGATATTAATTGCTCCTGTACAGCCGATTACTTATTTCAAAAGTCTTAATAGTTAATCATTATTGAAAACCTATAATCAGCATTTCTCTTGTCATCTATATTGGAACGTTAAATGGAATGCAAATAAATTTTTGTCCATTCTACTATGAAAAATGTAATAGAGACTAAAAAAAAATTTTTTTTTTTAATTGTTAAAAACCACTCAAATTTTATATTTAAAATCATTGTATGATGATATAAAGCATTGCGCTACACCACATTATAAAAAAATGCTATCAGTCACAAGCCTTGGTAATGAGAATATTTATCTTCGAAGTTTAAATTTAATCAATGGCTTAAATCAAATATGGTTTGATTCCATGTATATGAATGTATGTGTGCATACACTTTTCTTTCTATAACAAACTTCTTCTTATAGATCGTTTGTGTGCGTCAAGATACGAGACGATGGATATAAATCTGTAATTATTAGATAATTTGCGAGTAAACTAAACAAAATGTTATTTACTCAATATTCATACAATTTCAGACAATTTTAGTAATAGTGTGGCATCTGGACTATAGTATAGGCCGTTATAAAATTAAGACGTACACACGATTTAAAGTGGTTACATTAGATAGCATAACTATGTGCAATCACGCTGAACACACAGTTTACTCGACGACTTAGGGTGTATTTAGTCGACAGCGTCTTAACAAGACATACAGAAACTACCTATTAAAGATAATTAAACGCATTTAATTAATGAAAATGACGAGAATATAATCTAGATGCAACGATAGTGCGAATGTTTTACAATATAGTCGTTTTCAACTCAACACACTAATAATAATATCCCCTACCCCTACACAAAAAAATTGTAATTCTTAAAAATTATGATATTTACTTATATTTTATTCTTAATTGCGATTGTCCGTTAATTGTCGTGTAAAATACAAAAAAATTACATTTTTTAATTTCATTTAAAAATTACCTACATATTTATAGCAATTCAATAACTATTAAATTATCTCAAAAATAACAAGGAAAAGCGCAGTTTTTTTTGGAGAAATTTTCCGTGTAACTCAAATTGGAAGGTCAATAAAAATGGTTGAACTTGACGGATAATTCTCAAATTTTGCACAACTAATTTTCAAATTATATAGGAAATGTTAAAAAAATGTATTTTTCATTTATTTATAATGAATTTAATTGTTTAATTATTATTACTTAATGACTAATTAGTAATTATTTCAACAATTAGATGTAATTTGAAGAAATCTGAAGTTGAATTTAAAATCTAGGTCAACTTTTCTTATAGAAATTACCTAAATATTATATAAGAAAAAAAAATGTTTATATTATTTGTTGTCCTGTGTTCTTTTAAAGGAGTAAATCAGGTTTATACATTGTTTATAAAGCGTATAAATATTAAATACATTTTATTTTAACAAAATATTTAATTTTCTCTGTATATTGTCCGTGTTTAAAAAAATTCTTGGGAAAACACTTTAAAAATATTTATTAACAATAAACTTACTAGTGACATTGCAAGGTTTTAAAATTATTCGATTGGAAAAAGATGATTCAGTAAATCAAACAAAGACATATATATATATTTAGTATCCTGGTGAGGACACTACATTGTTTATTACTGTTGTATTTTTAATAACTCAACTGGCGCAAAATGGTGCAACCACTCCTACATAAACCGATCGTGATGCAATAGGTTAAAGGACACATGAAATATTATAAAAAGATGAACCGTTCACTTTTATTAAAGAAATAATTGACTTCAATCATTAAATTATGCTTTTTTAGCACTTTTCCTTTCAGAAATTGTAGTAAAGTGTTAAAGTTATTTTCTTTAGTTGCAATTACGTTGATCGTTAAAACATACATCAATTATACAGTAAAAATATTTCTACGTAACATTTACATATCTATTATTGTACATAATATGTACATGATTTGTAAATTTTCAATCAGGTGGTTTGAAAAATTAATACTATTATTTAAATGTGAACTCGGTTTTTCTTAATTAGTTTTTGATTTTTAAATCAATTTCGTATACACATGCAAGTACATAATAACTATAGAACGCTTAAGCTACTACAAGTTAATGATAATAGTTAAAATGCATTTGATGATATTTTAGTGAGTAATGTATACAATCGTTACATTATTTTATTAATATTATTAAACAGTCTTGTCAAATTTAGGTTAACTTTCGTAATTAAAATTATAATTTATCCTCAGAGTTGAGTAATATTTATTTATTAAAACGCTATTAGTACATTAATAATAAATATTTTAATATATTTTTAATAAACTCATTGTTGAAAAACACGGCATTCAACATTAATTATAGTTCTAATATTTATTTCACAAATTTTATTTTAACTATATTACAATATAAATATTTATTGTATAAAGTATACAAATATTTTCATTCAATAATATCTTAATTCTTTCATATTTATTTCTAATTAAATAAAATATATTAAATAGCGTTATTGGTAACCAAAGAGTACCTAGGTAACTTAATATGATGTTATAGTTATAACAGTATATTGATTATATTTCCTTAGTAACGCTATAGTTGTGTAAACACTAAAATGTAACGAATAATTTTAATCACAGAAATGTTCACGTGATAATGGTAGTTAGTGTGTTATTTAAAAATCATTATTATTATTATAATATTACAATGGACGAAAGTCTACAAGAGTTTCTGATTGACAGTGGAGCACTTAACGAAGTGCATTCCTTAGTGGAATCTCTAGTGGAGTCTTCAGTAACAACAGATGACTTAGAAGGCGATGAAGATGCACATCAGATTGCTAATAAGCTTTTAGAACTAAATGGTGAAGATTTAGAAACGCGATTGGATGCTCTAGTGAGGGACGCAAAACTTCATTACATCGGTCAAGTAGCTGATGGTCGGTGGCCTGAACTTTTGGAATTTGAATCTAATGACCGGCAAGCCATTCGCAATTTGAACGCCTTGTATCGGTTACCTTTTACATTCGATACTTACTCTGGTACTTTTTTTCAGCGACTCACCAAGGGACTAGAGTATTGCATTACAGTGGATCCTCTTTTTGAACCAGCTTTACGTATATACGCAAAACTTGTGAATTCAGCTTTAGACTGTGAGACTACTGTCGAGAGTTTCGCTTCTCTGTGCGAAGCAGTGCATTTACGATGTTGTCGACGACCTCCTCTTGACCAAGACAAGACTATTGCCTTGACATGTCTCATGATTAAGTGTTTACCTGCAGTTTGTCACAGGGGAGTCTGTAGTAAAAACGTTAAACCTGCTGTGGTCGAGTTTGTGGCTGCTGTTTCTTATGATTACCAACATGATGTTGGGTGTGCATACAGTATTTTATGTCGAGCCGATCCAATTGCTTGTTGGTTTAATTATATTTCTAAGAACAGCTCAATTCGGACGGCATTTTTTGACTGCTTACATGCTGATAAACGGTTTATGAAGACTGTGTTATCCGGATTTTTGGGATGGATGAGAGATCCTAAAATTCCAAAGATGACTACCGATATAAGAAGTGTGGAAGTTATAAGGTACGCGTGTTGCCTACATGCTGTGTATTTGTTGGCTAAAATGTACGAGTATGAACGAGCTAGAACTATTTTTCCAATGAAGATAACTAAAACAATACGCATTCATCCGATCAATATTGTAAACTGTTGTCTGGGTTTTTTATCAGCCAATTGTAACTGCATGTCGCATACGTTGACTACTGGTTTGTATCAATTAGCCGCTGTCTTAGCAGCGTATCATCCAGAAATTATTGAAATCGTCGTCGAGAACGTGTCTCGACATTCTATTAAGGTCTTAGCTCAAGTAGCTGTACTAAATCCAGAGGCTCTTAATGAGTTATTTGATCGCGGTACTAATGATGAAAATAATCCTTTGGAGTTTCATTTCAAAAAGAAGTATTGGAAAGAGAAGGACATCGCAAATGCGCTGGTAACCATAGCGACAGTACTGAGTAGCCACAGCGAAGGTGTTCAGTGGTTAATTATTAGAAAAATTAAGTTTCTGGAGACTGTATCCAATAGACAAACTGCGGCCGAATTAATGAGAAACTTACGCTGTACGCCACTAAGTTTAATGACTTATCACTTTGAAGAAGAAAATCAAAGCAGTTTAATTGACTGGATGGACCCTAAAGTAACGTTATCACTGAGTATCGCTTTTGGTATCGAACGAGGCAGAAATTGGTTAATACGAACAGGGTTGCTATACTCGGCCGATAAATTTATGCAGATTCAATTGCGTGAGTTGACTGACACGTTCTTTGATTCAAACGACAATAGAAAATCAATTGATTTGATAGTTAAATTGGTATATTCCATTTGTACTACAACCGAAGGTAATGTTGTGATAATTTGTTGGTCAAATGTTTATTTTCAATTTTCAAAGGAATTATTCTTCTAGTAATTTTTAAAAAATTTAATATTCTAATACATCTACTAGATTTTTTCATGTTATAATAAAATACAGTTTGATATTAATTTTTTAGAACGCATCTGGATAAAAAATAAAATTTTTTTTTTTACAGTGACTATCTAGAAATTGGAAGTTTATTTATATTTATTTTACATCTAGATTATGAAAATAAAATAAAAAATCATAAATATTTCCTATATTTTAATTGAAAATAGATTTAAAAAAACGTTAAATTTAGCATTTATAATTCAAACGATATGTAATTTACACAACATACCATATGATTGTTTCACGGGAAATATAATTTTCTACTTTTATTTGGTTCCTATTGTCCTATTGTTACTGAATAAAGTAAATAAAGTTATATGGACATTATGCTGAATGTAATTTTTTTGAACTATAGTAATATATCTCCATAGTTGGTGAGCTATTGAAATAATCACTGAAACCCCTAAAACTATGAAATTCTTTGTAAAATTGCGACACAAAATTATACATAACACAAAATGATAATAGGGATCATTTTCGGGACAAAAAGGGGGAAATATGATTTTCTGAAAAAAATCAAATGCCTATCTATTACATGAAAATTTTAGTGTTACGATTTTATTTCTTTAAATATAACTTTTGAAAAAGTTTATCTGTTTTTTCTAAAATAAAATAAAATATCAATAAATTTACAATATGATATTTTTAATTTTAATTATAATTGAATTTTGATCATTTTAATAATAACTAATTAGAATATGTATTTTGAACTAACATTTGACTGTAGAATAATTCACATAATAATATAAAGCGATCCAATTTTTATTGTTTGATTGTATTCAGTCCATTATTATAAAATATTTTTCATTTTAAAATGCAGGTCTACACTATTTGATTTCCGGATACCATCGAGAAGATGACAAAAATGTCGCAAAACTAGCTAATATATTCCATTTATCTTATGAAAACTTTGACGATTATTCTATTCCTAGAGACGTTCTCATATTTCTGTGGTTACGATGTATCCAAGCTGCTACCCACTCATTTATTTCACGGGTTTATTTGGAATCGCAGTTAAAATATCAAGTACGTTGGTTTTGTTTAGTTGAGAACAAAGCTAGATTTAATGGCGTTGACGCATGTTAATATGCATACGAGTGATATTGCATGACGACAGGGTGCAGTTGTTCAGGTTTAAAACAATAGAACCCAACCTATATATAATATGTATACAATATGATCCAAAATAATTCATCTGTTTTTGATGTAAAATTATTCGATAACCTCCTCAATGATTGAATCGTTGTGAATGTGTTATGATTTTATCGTAAGACTCCAATAAAAACGTAAATAACAGAATGATCATTTCAATGTTAACTATTATAATTTAATACGCGTTTTTCAATAATAAATTTACTTGCTTGACGAAATGTACAAAAGTCAATTATTGAAAATACTAAACTACACAATTTATTGTTTCGAAATCGCATATAAAAACCTTTTATATTTATCACATTAACATACTTGACAAATAATTGTGACAGCATATTACTTATGTAATTTTCGGTTTGCAACGGTTTCAGTATCTTTGATTTTCTTTTACATTGTTGCTGTACAAATTGTGTTAAAATTATTAACAACTATTTGGAAGTTTAAGTTTTTGCAAATATGTATTTTATAACTATATTTTGTAAAATTATTTAACAACATCAAAAATCGAATAATTTGTTGAATTAAAATTATCTTACTGTATGAATTGAGTTATGATTTTTTCAGGATAGACCTGGAATATAAAATAAAAATATTACACAATCAAATGACATGTAGTCTGGAGAAAAAAAATGTTAAAACAGTATTTAAAACAAAGAAAAAACAACTTTTTTTAGTAAAATGTTGAGTTTTTCATTATTACATCAGAATTTTTTTAAAAATTTAATAATATTTTACTTATTATTAATAATAAAACAATAGTATTAGAAATTAATAATTCTTGTAATAAGCATTATTACATTAGCCGCATAATTATTGTGCTAAATTTATATTCATACGCTGTTGTTTCATTTAATTGTGTATGTTGACATGCACCAATAAAATCACTTTTTTTTTTAAATTTTGTTAAAAATTATTATACGTGAAAAGAAATGAAAAAAGTTAATAGTTTTACAACTACTAAGTTATATTTTAAATGTTCGTTGTTATTAAGTTTTAATGTGTTATTAATGGATTAAAAAAAAAAAACCTTTGTTTTCTATTTTTTCGCATCCCCGTAAGTAGTTATTTTATTACTTATATAATTTTACATTTCATTGTAGTATAGGGTGGAACGTGAATAATCACGATAAATAATAAAAAAAAAAAGACGAAAAAAATGTCTATAAACCAAAGACATTTCATTTATAAGTTTTACAATTCGAACTTGGCCTAATAACCCCCCAACCCCAGAAATAATTCTTATTTCTTCTCTAAAAATGTTCAGTCATAATTATCATGTCTATTACGCTTGAAATTTTTAACTATTCAAATTTTAATGACAACTTAATACCTATGAACATTGAAAACTTATTAAAGCTTAAAGTTTTGTTGAACACCTACTTAATGTTATACGCACAGCTACAAATAGTAGTGTCATAAAATCTTTATTAACTAAACTCAAACAGGTTCATTGAATAATTGAAGTCACAGTTTATTTAAATTATACGATTGTGTGGTTTTGCCGTACCATCATTATGGTAATAAAGTCAAATAGAATTGGCATATTTTTTTATCTTAGCGAACGTCCCTGCCCTGAGGCCAGGTCGGCTCACCCAGTAGAAAGTCAATTTATTCATTGGATTGTGTAACATCGACTGAACAGGTGACCCAGGTCTTGGGGTTCACGGGAGGCTCTTAATCTGTAGAATAGCCCCGTAGGTTGTCGTATACATTTGTAACGCCATTGCACACAGGCAGGTAAATGATTGTATTTTGTTATAAATTTTTTACAGGACATTCTTGCGAAACTGATTTCGGAGAAACACACCGAGGACGGCGTCCCTATTGTGGACGAATCAGTTGAGTTGATTTCGAAACTTCAGGAAACAGTCCGATACGGACGCGATAAAGACGTCGCCGCCCAAGACTATTCGCCGACAGCGGGACGCTTTCCGCTGGACAGCGAGATCAATGACGAGTGGCTGCGGACAGTTCGCGTTATGATAATGCGCACTGGACGGATAACCGTGAGTGTGAATAATAACGCTAAATGATAAATCGTTGTTAGTACATTAATAACAACGTGTTACTAACGCGATTTGATGGCTGTGCGCAGGGACCCGAAACGGTGGACTTGATAATAGCATACGGCAAGTTACGTTTTAATAAATCGCGTGCGAGTCAGCTGGACGATCGAAGCCAATTACCATTATCTGAACACGAGGTCAACGGAATACGTTCGACGCTGAGGTCGTACCACTATGGTGTTGTTGTGTAATTCTGTGGTTCGGTTTTTTAACGTTTTCCCCTTAAATGTACAGGTACTGGTCAAGCGTGTCAAACGATTTGGAAGTTCAGCTGGGACGGGTGTACGGTCAAACGGCTAGACGGCTACCTGACGTCCCGTGGTTTTTCGATACTGTTGTTTGCACGTTGTTTTTGGCTTCCGGGAATTCCGAAGACAAGTTCGTGGAAAAGCGTGTACTGCCCTAATTTATTGAGTTTCGACTAAATAAAAATTACTGTTGCAGGTGCATCGAAGCCTGTGCCGTTTTTCTGAAAATTCAAGAGACCAGACAACGTTTTTGGTCGCCAGCAGCCGACGAGGACACTCGATCGATTTGCGGTTATTCGCTGGACGCTTTGTTACAAAAAGAACTACCGGAGATCTACAACACGTTTAAGGTCAATCGTTAAGTATTGATAAAAAATTAAGTTGAAGTTCAAATACTGAACTAAGCCGGCGGATGTTCGTAAAAAAAAAAATTTACACGATCGGTCGCCGCCGACTCATAATTAATCGTTGGTACTTGGCACTCTGTTGATCTTAAATACCGTTTAACAACAGTAATTTCACTAAAAACAGACACCGCGATCCTATACGTATAATAATATGAATTATCAAATTACTTATGTTTGTGCAACTTCTCAGTAACAACCCATTATAATTTTTAACAACATTCATTCGACATACTTTCGTCGTGTACGTGCAATGTTGAGTATTACCGAAATATATGATAGAAACATACCAATAATGTATTACCTTGATTTTTTATATCCATTATAATGATGATACCTTGCAACGTACGCATTTGAAACCTATTCAAATACAAGAACGGGTTTTTTTCCTGTCACGAATTTTTAAACAGTAATATGCGTTCGAGAGCGGTTATTGGCAAACGAATGAGGTCGTGAACAGTAATTGATTCCACGAGATAATAGTATAACCAGAAAATTTATTTGAATTTTATTTGACGCTTCGAAGGCACACTCTATAGCTGTCGTACTTGGTGCGGCCCAATGCAAATGCCGTCGGCCGCACATTAAACTATCAGCTGCAATTAAAATAAACTACTAGTTCTTCATAAATTATTGTAATGAAAACGCCGAAGTAAGTAATTTCTGAACGTCAAAAGCGCTGACAAATTATTATGAGTATCTATTGCGTTCTGCGTTCAATTAAGCAATCGGCATTGCTTATTGCCGTTTAATTAACACCGATTTTGACTAATGATGTTATTCGCGTGAGTGATGAGAAAGTGCAGCGGATGACACGGGGCGTCGAGACAATGGTGTCGATTCGACGTCCTCCGATTTGGGCGACTCTTGTGTCATATAAACGTTATCTGATGACATATGAGTTTTCGGTACGCACCAATTCTCGTTAAGCGTCTAATTAAGACGCCCGTACCGTTCCAGACCAGAGAAACGTGTTCTGTTATTCAACATCGTCTCGTCCCACGCGACGAACAACATGTTAACGGCGATTATGTACTTTACAGATGTCCGGCGTCTCGTGGTGGCTCCTCTGTTCCGGTTGGACGGCCTACTGTTTCTGGGACCGCTTGCCTTGGCCCGAAGTGTGTAGGTGGCTGTGTTTGTTCGTCCTGTTTCCGGTTGACTACCGAGCGTACTTTTTTGTTTGCCTAGCTGCGTCGCAAAAACGCCGCTGGTCCGAAGCGTTCAATCAAAGTCGTTTTCAGGATACCGTTTACCAGGTAATAAATACTTGCAATTTTCAATTGTTCCACTATATTGCGCCGAGGAAAATCGTCCAATTATGGAACAAGTTGAATACACCACTCTACCCCTCCTCGTCTCGTTCACAACATTTTTGCCGTTTACATTTAAACAAGCGAGTTCGGCGCATTGTCTAAACGGTTATTGAAATGGCAACTGCCAAGACAGAGTTGTACTGTACGAATTTCGTAATAGACAACCGAGCAAATTTCTTCCTCTTTTATTGGTCGAAATCTCCAAATCTGACACTTTAAGTACTATATTAAATGTTACTTAATGTCGCTTTTTATTTTTATTAGGGTTTTATGGACGACTTCTGTCTTGCTGATCACGCGGATTACGTCGATCGTTTGGTTAAGAAATACAGAGTTTTTCTGTCGACAGCGATGGCCGCGGAATTCGAAGATAACAATTAACCGAACGGAATTATTGCTGTATTGATGGGCTGGATAAATAATGTCAATGAACATATTTCGTCGACTGATTTATACACTCGACTATTCTGTGTACTTAAACTGTTTAACTTTGGTTCGAGCTACCCTTCTCAGTCATTATAATATTCCAAGAGAAAGGCTAAGTCAATATTGTATTATTCAATATATACGAGTGGTACTCAAAAAGATACTTTTATGTCCGCAAAGAATAATACAAACACAAAATCAGCGACCTCATTGTGCAAGTTCTCCGATAAAAAAGCAAACATTATTTATTAAAACTCTAAACAGCCCGGCGAATAAAAACCTTCGCAGTGCCATATTATTCAACAGAACGTTTTCGTTTTCATTAAAGAAATTGTACAGCTTTCCATCAAACAAACATTACATATTATTTACAGGTTATTCATATTCGAAATGGCTCATTATAAATGAATCCGACCATTAATATTTTTATGAACAATAAAATCCACTCCATTACGTTTACTTTCATTCTGACAAAAATAATTCTCTAGTGCTTAAATTATACAGCGATGTTGTTGTACATAGTTGTAACCTGTCCGTTTGACTTAAACAAATGTTTGATTTGGTGTTTCAAAAGAATCCTCGGGATATATACTCAATAAATAATTATCAAATTTCAGTCATTGTCATTTTAATTACCAAAAATTAATATAAAAAACATTTCTGAAACAATAATAATAGAAAAAATATTATATTAAATTATTGAAGGCAAACAATGAAAAATAAAAAACCGTATAAATTATTTTTTGTGAAAATTGTTTAAATTACAATGAATTGATTCATATTTTATTAATATTTAATTAAATTTTTATAGTTTTAATATGATGTTTAATTTTTATCTCTATTGTTTCATTATACTCAAAAATGTATGCGGGTACTTAGATAATAGAGTTTGAACAAAAACAAGTTGTACTCTGTTGTTTAACATAATTAAAACGTCTTCAGATTTTAAATATTATTCTAGTAGAATTCTTAATTTAAAATGGTTGTGTCTTAAAACGATTTTTAGTGAGGACATAAATGAAATTTTTAAGGGAAAACACGCCACTTGAAGTCGTACGAACAACAAAATATTGAGATGGGGCTGATTTAATTTCGCAAATAAAATGCTTTTGGGGGACCAACCCTATGCAGCGAAAAACACATCTGATTGTCACATAATCAACATAGGACATCTTTAAATTGTTTTATTTATTTCTATAATGATTTGGTTTTGTGTGCGTTGTATTATGCACAAACATAGTTCATTAAGAATCGCACATGAGTTTAATGTTAATTTATTTTGATTGTTAATTTAATTAATAAATTTAACAGTAAGTAACAGCTTTCGAGCAAATTTTCTACAGAGAAAACAACTGACGTAATAAACGAAATATTGTTAATTAATTTTAGTGTTTTGGTTTTTCTGCAACGAGGAAAATATTAATTACTAAAAAAAGGTGAAAGTATTATTTAGACATCATTTTTTGTTCACAAAAATATGCCACAATTAGTACTAAAATTCTTTTAAAATTTTAGGTTTTAGAAGATTCAATAAAACATATTAATTAATTATAAAAACTTCAAATCGGAGTCTTTGCTCCGAATTGGCAATTTGAATGAATGAGATTTTTAGTTATACATTTCCATCGAAATTTTCATTAATTATTTACTCAATTCATTACGTCCTGCGGGTCATTATAATGATCCACTTGAGATCTCCCAACAGATAAAAGTGCAACATTTTTGAAAATTGCTATATTGATTTCTCAGGGAATCCTCAATTGGAATATTATAAAAATAAATGTATCGACCAAAATAATTATGGGTTTGAAAGGGTTAAACTAGTATATTAGTGTTGTATTTTAAACTAATCTCATTTATATCTGATTGGTTTTATTAAAATAAAATTCATTAAAAATGGATTACATCAGCTTTAAACCGAAATGCGTAATTTTAGTTAAATCAGATGTATCAATCAATTGTAATTTATTACACCTCTGGACCGTTTCATTATGACTCCGTTGATGTTTACAATAATTATTATATTCTCTTAGTGTGCACGGACAATAAAAGCCTTTCACATGATTTAAGCCCCAGGCTTAGGGCTATGAACCTTGATGAAATATTATTAATATGTGCATGTAACAATACAAATAACGCACACGGTTTCAACAGTTTTGTCGAGTCGAACAGTCCGTAAAAAACCAAATTGACGCAGGTTATCTCGAGAACAGATTACTTTTAAGTAGGCGCTGCAGACTGTTTCATTGGCCGGCGACTGTAGAGGATTAACGAAGCGGAAACTCGTAGTGTCCGGTTTCTAGTAAAACTAGCCGGTGATTTCCCATCAAATTACACCAGAGTGCTATCAGTATCTGAGCGCGGTCATGAGTCAATAGTGCACAAGAATTCGGGTGACAACGTGTCATGACTTTGGCTGTTGGCTGGCGGAACACGCATTTGTTAAAATAATTATACCAGTTTTTTAGAAGAGAAGTCGTCGACCGCTCTAACGGGAAAAATAGTAAAACNAAGAATTCGGGTGACAACGTGTCATGACTTTGGCTGTTGGCTGGCGGAACACGCATTTGTTAAAATAATTATACCAGTTTTTTTAGAAGAGAAGTCGTCGACCGCTCTAACGGGAAAAATAGTAAAACAACCTTGTAGTACACGACGGGCATTATATTATCGGTGCGTGTGAATCGTCGGCCCAACTGACACAAGGGTCGTGTGATCGTGTGCCCAGTTATGATTTGGCGGCGGCGGCGGCGGCAAACACTCTGCTTGTAATTGCACGACCGTGACGTAACCGCGGTATGCATTACACAACGCACAATGTGGTTATAAACGTTGTGTGTGCAGTGGAAACCGTTTGTCGGTATCAAGACGCGACACGACGGCAAATGGTTGGCAGACTAAAATCAATCGATACCCTACTCGACTCGGGAGCCGACAATAAAGTTCTTAATCGACCCGATAAGACTGCAGTGCTGTCTCGTGAAACGTTTTGGCTGTGGGACGCTGGCGGTGAGAGCCTTGGCGTTTTAACTGTCAAGGTTTTCGAAAATTAATTTCCAATAATATTAACGGAAAAAGGATTAGATTTTTCGAGAGAATTTTTTTGCGTGGGCAACCGGATAATTTTATAGTCCGCAGAGAATTTGATTAAAAGCTCGAGCCATGCCGAACGACCCGGGCAAAACAATAAATCACATTAACTTAATTGCTTTAGGAAAATGTCTGCTCGCTGAAATACTTCTAAGCTTAACTATCTGAAAGCCACTGAGTCATATGAATCGTGATGCAACTAGAGATTAAGACTTGTTACCGTGAGACGCAATTCTTTGTGAAACGCATTCGGCTATTGGTCCTAATCAATCTCGTGTTAGTACTCGGCAATAAGCAGATATACAGAAACGTGATAGGAAAAAAAAAACATCTCTACGCTTAGTCTCAAATGATAAACGATGACACTATAAAACATGTCAAATAACGTCATAGTGATATTATTTTACGATGTGTTTATAATGCAAACCAGCGTAACGTTAGAAAGGTGCACAGATAAGAACTCAACCCCTCTAAACATTAGTATATTACGAAATGATAATTATAACTTAGAGACCTCAGTTTAAATTACATACAGTTTTCTCTTTTGAGGCACACACGAATTGATTACTGAATTGAGTGGCTGTGTCACGATAAAATAGTCTGCAAGTGTCAGTTTAGTGCCTATTAAAACTTATAGCATTGGTTCCAATATTGAACTTGCACGTGTACTAGATTATTTCTATTTGACAGTATCAATACAAAAGAAAAGAACTTTCATATTGAATCGGAAATGTTTTTGAACGAACAATCCACATAACTGTACAAATTATGAAAACAACATTTTGGTTTGTGTTTTATAGTTTAGTGTGTTCAGTTTAATTTTAAAATGTGTTTAGTAAATATATTATATTTCTTACTCGAGCCTTCTTTACCTTTGACAGTTTTTATTATGCATAAACATATATTACTATTTTTTTTTTTATTATATAAACAATATAACTATATCCCAAAAAACTGGGTCGTTGATGGTTGGCTGGTAAATTGGTTTTCGCGATAAATCGATTTGACTGTCAAAAGTACGCGTACATAGTAATTAAAAGAAATAACTATGCAAAATTATTTACTATTTTATGTGAATATAATATTATATACACATAAAATGTTGTTATTAGTGTTGAACATAGTATTAATGTAAATATATTATATTAAAACATATGATATATGGATTATTGATCACGGGCGTAGTACATTAATTAAAACTGTTTTTATCATACGTGTACTTTAGAAAGTTTTAAAAAAAGTACTGTGCTATATTAGTAAAACATGGAATGATCGACAAAAAAAAAAAAAAATGAAATGAACTCAAACATAATTTTACTTGTATTTTTTAAATAAATCTTTTATATTACATAGAATCGAATGTTTACACGAAATCCCTTAAAGATTGGACGTTGGAGTCTTTTATAACAGTTTTTGATTTGAAAATCATTTGGATGAACGATAAAAAAAAAAAAAGAAATATCAATTAGTAACTTTTTTGTCTTAGACATTACTTTATTACAAAAGACAACATTATAAAACAAGTATGGCTGTTTAACGACTGTTTTAAAAGAAAATCTATTTATAAACGAACTGATGAATAATTTCACTTTAAGATAAGACTTGTTAAAAAAGTACAGCATGTAGGGTAACTTCATCAGTGAATGAACACTAATAAGTTTTTAATTAAAAATCGAGTGTCTGTTTGTGGAAAGTTGTATTTAATAGTATTTATAACAAAGAAAATGTCTAAAATTATTCCTACTGAACATTCATACTCCTACTGCTTTACATTCACGGGGAAATTCTAATTTTCAACAAAATGTTATGAATTATAAGTTATTTTGAAGCTAATAATAAATATTTTTAAATTAATATTACTGAGATTTTTTTAGAGAACAAATAAGTACTAATTTCATAAGTTTAGCGTCGAATTATTGATTAATAGAGTATTTCAAAAAATAAAAATCTCTAACTGTTAATTCATTGGTGAAGTTTATCTAATTAATTGATGACAAAAATTTAATAAAAATGAAAGAATTGAAGTACAATACGAAAAAATGAACTTATTTTGAGCTTTGATTGTTTTAACTTTTAATATTTACAGTAAAAACAGTATACAATAAAAGTAATTGAATTCGTTTTTATGTCTTCAAATAATTGAATATTTAATGATTAAAAAAATTTATAATTTTATTTTTATAGAGTGTGTGAAATAATCAATTTCACATATGTTGCCTCAAAAAATAAAAAAAAATTAATTTAACAATACAATAAATATTTGAAAAAATCAGCGCATATGCATAATACGAAAACAATATTTTTACCACCAGAGCTACACAGATACTGTCTCCAAATAAATGGCTCACTTAACAATTCTTTTTTTTCTAATTGAACGTTGTGCTATACGATAAACCAAAAAATAAACCGGATCTATTTTTTTTTTCAATAATTACTGTATAATTGAATTATGGATTTATTGTGCTAATAATGTTATTATACGCAAATATACATATAACTTTTAAGTCTAATTATTGGTCGTAACACACGCCTGTGGTTTTATAAGAGTTTATCTAACATTCAAATCATTAATTTGCGATAATATATTGTAGACTTTTTATTTAAACAACATTTTAACGAGCTATTAGCAGGAAAC